GTGTATGTTTGGGGGTCTGATATGGACTAATCTACTTCTCGATATTCCTTATGGGAACAAATTCGGTCAGTATTGGCACCTGAACATACTTCTGGAATGAAAAAATATCGTTAACCGGGGGTCCACTGTATTTATTTACTTAACTACATCAGCTTAATTTAAAGCCTTTTTATTATGAGCCATACAAATAGGGAACAGGCTAAAGTTGGAGTCATTTGTATGGGCCAGCAATTTCATTTTGTCAACTGGCTTGATTCATTGATGTCATTATGCTGTATGAACATACAGGAGGGCCCCACTTATACGGCAGATTAGGTTGCAGGCTACCGCTGTAAAACGGAAATTGCCGTGAAGTGGAACACGCTTTTTTTCCACTTATAAACACACAAAAATATTAGATAACAAGTTTACACTAACATATATTAAGTTAGCAACAGAACTAGGCATTAAAAAAACAAAAAAGTAAAATACACATACAGTACACTCATTACTTTCCTTTAAAATATTTGTAGCTTAATCTAGGGTGAGATGAGTAGTATTGTAAGAAATCAAATGTGGTATGTATGGTAACCAGCCAGGCTACCATACCAGGCCACCGCCACCCACACATAATATTCTATGACATTTAAGCGTCCCTGAGCGATAAAATGCATATAGAGTTCACTCATTACTTAAAATATTTGTAGGCTTAATGTAGGGTCAGAGGCGAGTAAACTAGATAATACGAATAAATGAGAGAGAGAATAAGTACATGAGAGAAGACAGGCACGGAGTTATGTAAACAAACCAGGTGAACACGTCTGGTTTGTGTACAAGTTGTCTACATTGATACAGTAGAATAAATAAAGAGGAACACTCCCATTCTCATGTAACACTATTTTTAGAAGAAATGACGCTCTGAGTGAAGGCATACAAAAGGAATAATTTTCTACAGTTACCCACAGTAACACATTTTCTCTTATGTTAGACTAGGGAAAGTGTTATTCTTGCCGTCACTCGTACAAGTTGTCTGGCTACTACATCTCATATTTGTTTATTTATTCTACTGTGGGGCGTATTTATCATCTTTATATGTTACATATCGTGTAATATAATTTTGAAAAAATATCATTGATGGATTAATGAAAATGTGTATATTAACATAATATATGACATTTTGTGAGACTCGGTGATTATTAAGTATTATCATCATTACTAATATGACGTCTTGAGACATAACTCTTTTAGTGGTTTTAATGTATACCTGCATGCCAGCACAGTGTGTAAATTTATTTAGGCACAGGTATACATAAGTGTAATTATCAGTGTACAGTGGAACCTCAAAAATCAAACTTAATCCGTTCCAGGAGCTAGTTCTAAATTCGAAAATTCTGAAATTCGAAGCAATATTTCCCGTAAGAAATAATGGAAATACAATTAATCCGTTCCAGAAACCCAAAAATATTCACACAAAAAACACATTTTATAGAGATTAATTAGTTTTACATACAACAAATACTATAGTTTTTAATTATGTATAGTAATACATATAAAATAACATTTTTACTTGCCTTTATTGAAGATTGGTGATGGCATCTGGAAGATAGGGAGGAGGAGAGAGGGAGTTGGGGTTAGTGTTTGGAAGGAGAATCCCCCTCCATGAGGACTTCAGGTAAAGCCCTCTCTGGGGTTACTTCCTTTCTCTGTCTTTTAATGCCACTAGGACCAGCTTGAGTCACTGGACCCCTGTCTCATAAAATAACTGTCCACAGTACTCTGTTTCTGGCGCCTCTTTAACATTTCCCTAAAATGGGACATGGTTCTGTCACTGAACTTGTTGCAAAGATGGCTTGTTTCAGCTTGCTCAGGGTGGTACTTCTGCACAAACATTTGGACACCATTCCACTTGGCACAAATCTCTTTAATCTTTGAAGAAGGCACCTCATCCACTCCCTATATTAACACCTTTCGCAACATCAGCTTCCTTGATTTGTTCTTTCTTTGACAGGATAGAACCGATGGTCGACTTGTTTTTCCCATATATCCTGGCAAGCTCAACAAGTCTCACACCACTCTCATACTTCTGTATTATTTCCTTCTTCACATCTGTGGTGTTTTTCACTTTCTTTACCACAGGGGGTACCACAAGCAAGTTCCTTTGGGCCCATGGCAGCTTATTTCACAGTCCCACAAGCACTAAACACAACGAAATAATCGTAAAATGCATGAATGAGAGTGCAGGTTTATGCTAGACTGCTCACGGCGCCTGCGCCGGGACACGGACAGAGCAGGCAGCAGACAGGTCCCGTACCCGGCGGTCCGAAAATAGGGGCGCGTTTGATAATAGGGACAGTTTGTCCGAAAAAATGGTCCTATTTTCGAAACGTTCGATATGTGATATGTTCGATTTTTGAGATTCCACTGTATATAAAATATGAAATAACTTTTAAAAACACTTGAAATCTTGGAGTTTCCAGACATGATGGAGAAACTTGGTGCTTATGGAGCTCACGGAGAATGTAAACAAACCGGGTGGGGCGCGGTGATTGTATTAGAAAGTCAGGCGGGGGAGCCGTGTAGCGAGTTTTGATCATGATTTGAAATGTCCGTTTTAGCCGAACGCCATAAAGCGAAACACGGTAAAGCAGGGCCCTAGTGTATTCCAGACTTAAGTCATCCTAGGAATAAATGATCTCGGATGAAGTGATGTCCTAACTTTATTGGCAAGCTAAGAGCTGTTACCTACATCAGCTCATTTGAAAGCATTTTTATTGTTATGAAACATACAAGTCTTTCTTTCTCTTTTTTTCTCACTCTCACTTTTTCTCACTTTTTCTCACATTTTTCTCTCTTTCTCTCTTTTTTCTCTTTTTTCTCCTTTTTCTCTCTTTTTCTCTTTCACTTTTCTCTTTCACTTCCTCTTTCACTTTCTCTCTTTCACTTTCTTCTCTCTCTCTCTCTTTTCTCTCTTCTCTCTCTTCTCTCTCTCTCTCTCTCTCTCTCTCTCTCTTTCTCTTCTTTCTCTCTCTTTCTTCTCTCTCTTTTTCTTTCTCTTTTTTCTCTTTTCTTTTCTCTCTTTTTCTCTTTCTCTTTCTCTCTCTTTCTTTCTCTTTCTCTTCTTTCTCTTTCTTTTTTCTCTCTCTCTCTCTTTCTCTCTCTTCCCCTCTCTTTTCTCTTTCTCTCTCTTTCTCTCTCTTTCTCTTTCTCTCTCTTTTCTCTCTTTTTTCTCTCTTCTTTTCTCTCTCTTTCTCTCTCTTTCTCTCTCTTTCTCTTTCTCTCTCCTTTCTCTTTCTTTCTCCTCCTCTTTCTCTCTCTTCTCTCTCTTTCTCTCTCTTTCTCCTCTCTTTCTCTTCTTCTCCTCTTTTTTCTCTCTTTCTCTCTCTTTCTCTTTCTTTTTCTCTCTCTTTCTCTTTTCTCTCTTCTTTCTCCTCTTTCTCTCTCTTTCTCTCTCTTTTTTCTTTTCTCCCCTCTTTCTCTCTCTTTCTCTTTTTCTCTCTCTTCTCTTTCTCTCTTTTTTCTCTCTTTCCCCTTTTCTCTCCATTCCTCCTTCCTTTCTCTCTCTTCTCTCTCTTTTCTCCTTTTCTCTTTTTCTTCTCTCATTCCTCTTTTTCTTCCTTTCTCTCTTTTTCCCTCTCTCTTTCCTCTTTCTCTCTCTTTCTCTCTCTTTCTCTTTTTCCTCTCTTTTCTCCTCTCTCTTTCTCTCTCTCTTTCCCCTCTCTTTTCTCTTTTCCCCTTCTCTCTCTTTCTCTCTCTTTTCTCTCTCTTTCTCTCTTTTTTCTCTTTCTCTCTCTTTCTCTCTCTTTCTCTTTCTCTCTCTCTTTCTCTCTTTCTCTCTCTTTCTCTTTTTCTTTTCTCTCTCTCTCTCTCTCATACTTTTTTCCTCCATTTTTTCTTCTCTTTCAATATTCATAAGAACGTAATGGAGGAACACTGCAAAAGGCCTACTGGTCATGTTTTTTTCTACCTCTTTCTCTTCTCATAGACCATCTTTCACATTTAAGATGACCCCCCCCTTCCAAAAAAAAAAAAAAAAAAGACAGAAATGCTGTCATTCATTCCGTCAGTGTCTCACCAGACGTTCGCTGATGACGGTTCAGATGACCCTCCAGATTATAACATCCCCACCCCTCCAGAGTGCAGGCATTGTACTTCCCACTGCCAGGACTCTAATCTGGCTAACCAGTTTCCCTGAATCCTCCATAAATATTACCTTGCTTTCACTCCAACACCACATCAGATCATAAAAACTATTTGCCTCCACTATTCCTGTCTAACATGCTTGCATAAGCCTGTTGGATATCCACATCCTTATCACTTTTTTTTTTTAACAAACCTTTCATATCCCACTGAGGCAGGGTGACCTAAAAAGAAAAATGAAAGTCTCTCTTTTTTAAATTTGGTAATGTATACAGGAGAAGGGATTACTAGCCCCTTGCTCCTGGCATTTTTGTCATCACTTACAACACATATGGCTTATGGAGGAAGAATTCTGTTCCACTTCCCTATGTTTTTATCTTTGATAATTCCGTCTAACCAGACATTCCTACCCAACTTACCATGACCATATACAAATTAGTCCAAGTTGGATGTGTTCATAACAGATATTACCAAATAAATGCCAAATATAGTTTGAGCCATTTTGAATGAGGTGTAGTGCCCTGCCACCCAAGTGGTTGCTGAGTTGGGTGCTGCAAGGTGACAGTTGGTAAGAAGCTATGGTTATATTTTTTCCTGCAGTTAAGTTTGGGTTAGGTATACTGTAGGGGGATGATTGAAGGGTTAGTTATATGCATCGATCTTGAAGTTGTAAACTGTTGTGGCTAATGGATACTGTGGCTGAATGCAATCCATTTTGTGCATAATATTGACATAAGAATGACCTGTAATTAGAGATTAACAGGAATAATTTTCTAGTTCTGTTTTCAGTTTGGGATGGGAAGGGGTGCTTTTTGCACAGGATGCTGGAAAAATTACCTGCACATACCGGTAATTAATTTCTAATGTAATTACATTATTTTCAGGTATGTAAAATAGTCATTAAGTGTGAAAAGATGGGGAAGAGATATTATTGTGACTATTGTGACAGATCATTACCATACAGTGTAGAGGCCCGCAAGAAACATGATTATGGACACCATCATCAGAAGTTAAAAAAACATCATTTTGATCAGTTTAAATGTAAGTTACAGTACAATATAGTAACAGCTCTTTATTAAAAAAAATATATAGCCTAAAGTCTTGAAGAATCATAAACATAAGAATCTGTAATTGTAGGTGTTGGTGAAAGCTAATTTTAATGTTCATTGTCTCTAGTCCTATGTATCTACATGTAGTAGTTAAATCTCCATTATGTTCATGGAAATGATTGTTACCTACAAGAAAATCTTAAGGAATTGGTATATAAATGTTAGCCAGTGCATTTTCACAATACAGTGGTTTTATAGTACCATTAAGGAGTGTATTGTGGTTTAATTTATAGCATGAAGGCTAAAAATTAGCACTGTTGTGCATTCTTTTCCTTGCCCCCATCATGGTGCACATTTTTTTTTAGGCCACTTATTTTTTCCTATTCTCTAAGTTTTCTTCTTATTCTTTCAACGTACCAGCCGTATCCCACCGAGGCGGGGTGGCCCAAAAGAAAAAACTAAAGTTTCTCCTTTTAAATTTAGTAATAGATACAGGAGAAGGGGTTACTAGCCCCTTGCCCCCGGCATTTTAGTTGCCTCTTACGACACGCATGGCTTACAAAGGAAGAATTCTGTTCCACTTCCCCATGGAGATAAGAGGAAATAAACAAGAACAAGAATTAGAAAGAAAATAGAAGAAAACCCAGAGGGGTGTGTATATATATGCTTGTACACGTATGTGTAGTGTGACCTAAGTGTAAGAAGAAGTAGCAAGATGTACCTGTAATCTTGCATATTTATGAGACAGACAAAAGACACCAGCAATCCTACCATCATGTAAAACAATTACAGGCTTTCGTTTTACACTCACTTGGCAGGACGGTAGTACCTCCCTGGGCGGTTGCTGTCTACCAACCTACTACCTACATCTCTAAGTTTTATTATAATAAATTAATTTATGGAAATGTTAGCTTATTGGATAAAAGAACTTGCAACAGCTTATTAGGCAAGAGCTTGCGACATTTGGAGTAGATGAGCACTGGAAAACTACATAATGTGCTGCATTTATTGAATTTTTAAGAAACTTCATGGCTTCTGAAATTAAAAATATTACATCATAAATGATAAGGCAGTAGGTTGGTAGACAGCAACCACCCATTTTTTTTTTTTTTTTTTATGTCTTGTAAACGTGTGGGATACCAGATATACCTTTTTACTTCTACTTACAGATAGGTCACACTACATATGCATGTTCATGCATATATATATACATATTCATCTGGGTTTTCTTCCATTTTCTTAATAGTTCTTGTTCTTTATTTCTTTTTATCTCCATGGGGAAGTGGAACAGAATTCGTCCTCCATAAGCCATGGGTATTGTAAGAGGCGCCTAAAATGCAGGAAGCGAGGGGCTAGTAACCCCTTTTCCTGTATAAATTACTAAATTTTAATATAATTTTTTTTACCGTGCCTTGGTGGGAAGATAATTTTTTTTTACCCTGCCTTGGTGGGATATGGCTGGTTTGTTGAAAAAAAAAGATAATGTAAGAAAATGTAGGCAATACATTTTGGAAAAGAATTTGAATATTTAAAGCGTAGTTAATGTGTGTAGGAAGAAATGTATCCACAGTATACAGAATATAAATCTTGTAATGATGTTGCAGGCGAGGAAAATACTGTTTATGTAAAATAAGTAATACATGGTATTGAATTAGTGAGGGTAGAGGTAATAAAATTTCATCGGTTTTCTTTATTGACTTTTTGTTATTCCAGCGGCCAGAGAACAATTGCAAGATGAATTATCAAGGGAGAAATGTCGCCGTTTTCATTCAGGCCAAGACTGTTCCTTTGGGGACACGTGCATATACTCCCACCTCACAGATATTGACATAAGCAATCTAAAACAACAAGGTAAGCTATTCCACTAAAAAAATCACTTATAGAGAGGTGACCATGTCTAAAGCTCTTAAATACTACTACGTAACTGAACTGACATCTGTTCCATTGCCATTATGTACAGACTAGTACTTCTTTCCCTTTCCAAGATGTTGGTAATTCTCCTTTAACCCTTAAACTGTCCAAACGTAGATCTACGTTTTTTCAACATTTGAAAGTATGTAAAAAAGTAGATCTTTTTTTTTTATATTTGAAAATGTGTAAAAAAACTTTGATCTATTTTTTTTTTTTTCATATATGAATATGTAAAAAAAAAAGTAGATCTACTTTTGGAGCACTACGGATGTGAATGTAGATCTGCTTGGACAGTTTAAGGGTTAAATACATTAATGGTATACAGTACCAACAAGTTGATATAAAAGGACACCTGTGGCAGATGTTGCAAATGTATGGAATAGGAAGTAAGTTACTGAAAGCAGTGAAGAGTTTTTACGAGGATAGTGAGGCTCATGAGGTTAGAGTATGCCCAGTACAAGTGGGCCTTAGACAGGAATGTGTGATATCACCATGGTTGTACAATATATTTATAGATGGGGTTGCAAGACAAGTGAAAGCTTGAGTGTTGGCAAGAGGTGTGGATTAAAGGAAAAAGAATCTAACACAAAGTGGGAGTTGTCATAGTTGCTGTTTCCTGATTACACTGTGCTTTTGGGAGATTCTGAAGAGAAGTTGTAGAGGTTGGTAGACAAGTTTGGTACGGTATGTAAAAGGATATTAAAAGTGAACATAAGAAAGAGTAAGGTGATGAGGATAACAAAAAATTTGGGTAAAGAAAGATTGGAGGGAGGGAGAGAGCATGGAGGAAGTGAATGTATTCGGATATTTGGGAGTGGACTTGCAAGCAAGTGGCTCTATGATAGACGAGATGAATCATAGAATTGATGAGGGGGAAAAGGTGAGTGGTGCACTGAGGAGTCTGTGGAGACAAAGAATGTTATCCATGGAAGATCTTATATGGGTGTAAAGTATGGGTGGTGAATGGTGCAACAAAGAGAAGGCTGGAGGAGGTGGAGATGATGTCTGAGCAGTGTGAATATAATTCAGAGACTCCGTAGTTTGGAAATCAGGAGGAGGTGCTGGATTACTAAAAGTATTATCCAGAGGGCTGAGGAGGGGTTGTTGGGGTGGTTCAAACATTTCTCCATTTGTTTCTCCTTGTTTGTTTCTTTCTTTCTCATTTGTTCCTTTCTCTCTATTTTTTCCCTTTTTCTTTCTCTTTCTCTCTCATGTGTGTCTGTGTGCACTTGTTTTGATAATTTTGAATATTGCATTTCACATGAGATATTTAAAGTATAATAATGTAAATAGATCGGTAATGTACCAATTTTAGTTTTATTAATTTTTCAGCCAGGGAAGAGGAATTGCAGTTGAAGAAATTGAGGCTTCCCACTCTTGTGAAAAATGGCAAGGAACCATCACTTGAATCATGGCTTTCAAGGAAAGAGCAAAAGGTGCAGTCAACCTCAGATTATCCAGTGGAAGACAGCACTGACTGGGAACTGAAGTACACTATTCCACCAAATGTCGTTGTTTCTTGCCTTCCACCCTCGCTCATTCCACCATCTGCAGAGAGTTTGTTACAGTATGAGTTTGTGGACTGGGGCTGATGCTTTAATATAATTGTTTGATGTTATTCATAATTTCTTTTTCTTTATGGACTATTTTTGAAGACTTTAATAAAAATAACTGATAATTAAATTTTTTGTTTAAGTATTTTGGTACAACCTGAAAAAATATCTACAGTTTTTTTTTTTTTTTCCAAGTTGGCTTCCATGTGATAATTTGAAATGTCTCTTCTGATCAGCTTCACTCTCAAAGTTGGTTTATCTTACCTGAAGGAGGCCTTTTGATTCTTAGTGGACTTTATGGGTGGCAGTTTCTTAAAAATATCTGGGGTGCTCGTGCTTACCCTTCAGCATTGGAGATTACCTAATGACATTTATTTTGACCCCATACAGTTTCTGGCAGTCTAAAATTCAAAAGGGCCCCTTTAAGGGGATGATGGTGAGGGACTCTTGATCCAAGGAATTTGACCTGTCCTCACTTTCCTTGACTGAATCTGATTGCCTCCCATAACTCCAGGCTCTATAACCCCTACAGCTGTATAGCCCTTGTGGCTTAGCGCTTCTTTTTGATTATAATAATAATAATATAACTCCTACAGGTTTAGCACTTTGAATAATTCAAAAGGGAAGAAATTTTACTTATTCCTACCTGATTTTTTTATCCTTGAAGAAACATGCCTTGATACCAGAGTTAGAAATATTCTCCTCTTTGGATTGAATCTGATTGATTCCCATTCCTCTGGTATTTGCCAGAAGAGCTTAGCACACTACCCGTGAATCTTCTCTACAAAGGTTGCTTGATGCTGGTGAGGGACTTTTGATCTGAGAAATTTGATCTGTGCCTCAGTTCCTTGAATTGAGCACGAATGTTTTCTATTATCCCAGGTGCTGTATGACCTGTTTATTGCTTTCCCATGAATGTAATGCAATTCTTTCCATGAATGTAATTTTTTAGTTTTTTAATATTTTAAACACCTGAATATATGCACTTTAATAAGAAAATTTGTTGCCTCTTATAAGATGTAAATATTCCTTCTAAAAAATACCTAGTCTCAATGTCAAAAAAAAACAAAAAAACAATGGTTTGTGTAATTTCTCAGTCATTATTAGACTTCTGTTTTTCATAATTGTCTCCATGCTATATCATACATCATTTGAATTTGCAGCCTTCTGTCTGATCTTGGAAAACTATTAAAAAGTGGCAAATTTTACATTATCTTGTTTCTTTCAAACACTTCAAAACAATCTTTTTGCTTTTCTTTACAGACCACATACAATTAGCAGTTATTGTTTACTTTTGAATGATTAATTTATAAAAAGCCTACATAAAATATATTAATAGCTATTCTTTGTGTAGTATTTCTCAAAAATTTTCATTTAGAGACTGGAGTTTGTCTTCACAATAGTTCACTCCTCAAGGAAGATGACTAGATGCCAGTGATAGGCTCTTGATTCTAGGAAATGAACTCCTCTTCCCTCTCTTTGGATCACACCTGATTGCTTTTCATTTCCTCAGGCATTGTATGACCCTTATGGGTTTAGTGCTCCTCCCCCTAAATGCAATAATACACAATAGTTCATAGAGTGTGTGTAAAGGTAAAAAGTTGAAAGTGAACATAGAAAAAGAATAAGGTGATGAGGGTATCAAATGATTTAAATAAAGAAAAATTGGATATCAAATTGGGGAGGAGTATGGAAGAAGTGAACGTTTTCAGATACTTGGGAGTTGACGTGTCAGCGGATGGATTTATGAAGGATGAGGTTAATCATAGAATTGATGAGGGGAAAAAAAGGTGAGTGGTGCGTTGAGGTATGTGTGGAGACAAAAAAACGTTATCTATGGAGGCAAAGAAGGGAATGTATGAAAGTATAGTAGTACCAACACACATGAGTATGAAGCTTGGGTTGTGAATGCAGCAGCAAGGAGGCAGTGGAGATATCCTGTCTAAGGGCAATGTGTGGTGTAAGTATTATGCACTGTGGAAATTAGGAGAAGGTGTAGAGTTAATAAAAGTATTAGAGGGCTGAAGAGGGGTTGTTGAGGTGGTTTGGTCGCTTAGAGAGAATGGATCAAAGTAGAATGACACAGAGAGCATTTAAATCTGTAGGGGAAAGAAGGCGGGGTAGGGGTCGTCCTCGAAAAGGTTGGAAGGAAGGGGTAAGGGAAGTTTTGTGGGCGAGGAGCTTGGACTTCCAGCAGGCGTGCACGAGCGTGTTAGATAGGAGTGAATGGAGACGAGTGGTATTTGGGACCTGACGATATGTTGGAGTGTGAGCAGGGTAATATTTAGTAAAGGGATTCAGGGAAACCCGGTTATTTTTACGTAGCTGGACTTGAGTCCTGGAAATGGGAAGTGCAGTGCCTGCACACTAAAGGAGGGGTTTCGGGATATTAGCAGTTTGGAGGGATATGTTGTGTATCTTTATGCATATAGGGGCTCTGGTGGCCTGGTGGTTAACGCTCTCGCTTCACACGGTGAGGGCCTGGGTTCGATTCCCAGCCAGAGTAGAAACATTGGACGAGTTCCTTTCCACCTGTTGTCTATGTTCCCCATCAGTAAAATGGGTACCTGGGTGTTAGTCGACTGGTGTGGGTCGCATCCTGGGACACTGACCTAAGGAGGCCTGGTCACAGACCGGGCCGCGGGGGCGTTGACCCCCGGAACTCTCTCCAGATAAACTCCAGATATATGCTTCTAAACTGTTGTGTTCCGAGCACCTCTGCAAAAACAGTGATTGTGTGAGTGAAGTGAAAGTGTTGAATAATAATGAAAGTATTTTCTTTTTGGGGATTTTCTTTCTTTTTGCGTCTCCCTACCTCGGTGGGAGACAGCCGACTTGTTAAAAAAAAAAAAAAGTTCATATTGGTTTCAAATTTTCAGTTTGGCAATGAGTTCCAACTTTTGAACATCTGGAAGTCTTGATATCAGTATGTCAGACTTGTAAAGATATTAATTTTTAGTTGCTTGGTAGAATTAAGGTCTAGATTTTGGGCCTCTGTGAAGGCTGCAGTTCCTCATCCTCTTCAGGATTTTGAGTCACAGCTATCTGACCTTCTAGGTACTTTGTTTCCGTATCAAACATAATTCCCTTTCATTTCCCACATGTAGTCTGACCTCTCTGGGTTTAGTGGTACCCGATTAAAATAAATGTACAGAAGGGTGGAGTCATCAAAGATGGGTACCCACTTTCATGGTAATGGTTTCAACATCTTTGGTCACATCACATGAATATGCCAATTGTTTTAAAGAATTTGGTGCCCTATACTGTATAAAAGTATTAAAAATTTGAAAGCGATAGGTGTAAGGCGTCGCTATTGTTTTTGAATGTATTCTTAGTCCACATTTTTTCATGAACCTTGACTCTCTTGGATTTAGTGCCTAGTGTGATTATTTTGTTGTTCATGAATTTTAAAAACCATGACTTGTGTTGCTTTTCTAGTCTCTCGTGGACTTGCCCTCCCTATTCTTGAATTGAACCTGACTGACTTCCATTCAACTCTATGACCTCTACAGGTTCAATGTTTCCCTCTTAACATAATACTAATAATGGACCACTGAATACAGAAATCTGTATAGATTCAAAACAAAGAATACTGTATTCAATAGCCTCAAGACTCGTACACAGAACATTGATCTAGACAGTAAATATTACTTAACTATTCTAAATGCTCATTCCAATTAACAGTAGTAAAGGACACAGCATATGGACGAGAGAATTCGCTGTGATATGAATCTGCATAAACATTCAATGTGATGGTTGGTACACTTTAAAACTAACCTAGAAATTGGAGATGGGAATTGGCATGTTGATCTTTGAACTGATAACGGAGATGAAAAAATGTCATTTTCATCTAACTGATAGTTAATTATGAAAAATTCCTTAGTTTGCAGAAACTATTCTGGATATGAAAATGTGTATATTTAGACTGGTATATTTATTGTAAATAGTATTTACACAAAAGTAAAACACCACTGTGAATTACCAAGGTGGTGGTATATTAAAAAAAAAGAGAATTACCAAGTAATTTTTGCCCATCATACTGGTAAAATCCTCCATGATGTTCTTCATTCAAGTTGTGTAGAGTATTTATGATTCCTGATACACTTTCTACTGGTGTGAGAGGAGCAGACTTGCCTCCCATATCTGTCTGAACCCACCCAGGGTGAAGGCAAGTTACTAATATATTGAAATTCCTGAGATCAATACACTGGGATTTGGTAATGGCATTTAAGGCAGCCTGGAAAAAAAAACAAAATTGAGAACAGCAAATGAACACAGCAAACATTAAAATGGTTAAGGTATTTTTAGTGTTTTATCAAGTTGTTAATTTTGCTTAAAAACAAATTGTAATTAACCCCTTGGCTGTCGCAACCCTCAATCCTGAGGTGTCTCCTGGTGTCGCAAAATTTAAAAAAAAAAAAAAAAAAAAAAAATCTTATGAAATAGAGAATCTTTCTCCAATTGTAATGACACCAAAAAAAAAAAAACGAAATTTGATGGAAAACTGACGGAATTATGCTCTTGCGAAGTTAGCGACCTCGGCGATATTTACAAATCGGCGATTTTGCCCACTTTGAGCCCTATTTTCGGCTAATTCCATTGTTCCAGTCGACCAAACTCATAGCTGTTTCTTTAGAACTCTGTTTTTTCTATTGATTGGGTACAAGAAACTGCCCATTTACTGATTTCAACTACCCAATAATGTGGTCAGAAATTTGCAATTTTGCCAACTTCACGAAAATTAAAAAATATGGCAATTTCAAAATAAGGTTCAGAATGAACAATGCAAACATTCCTAGCTCTAAAATAACATTTTCTTTGTTCATCAGTCATGTCTCCAGGCCCCTCTGATATTACTCTTGCTCTCTTATTTTGAATTTTTATTCAAAAAATAGAAGATTTACTGTTATGCAAACTACTGCAATACTGTAATAATTGGACAAATAATGTCAACCCATTCATGACTGCATGTTAGAATGGCTAGTTGGACATTTATTGGATAATGACATCATTTGTTTACTTTTGAACATAGGCAAAAATAAAAAATTTCCCCTACTTTGAGCTCCATTTCCAAATTCTTTTTATAGTAAAACCAATTAAAATCACATCTATTTCTATAATATGTCTTCCATTCTATCAAATGAGACCAAGAAAATGAGAATACGTGTTTTTTTTTTTTTTCAACAAGTCGGCCGTCTCCCACTGAGGCAGGGTGACCCAAAAAGAAAGAAAATCCCCAAAAAGAAAATACTTTCATCATCATTCAACACTTTCACCTCAATCACACATAATCACTGTTTTTGCACAGGTGCTCAGAACACAACAGTTTAGAAGCACATACGTATAAAGATACACAACATATCCCTCCAAACTGCTAATATCCCAAAACCTCTCCTTTAGAGTGCAGGCATTGTACTTTCCATTTCCAGGACTCAAGTCCGGCTATATAAAAATAACCGGTTTCCCTGAATGGGATGGGAGGAGGGGAGACCGTTGATCTTGTTAGTGTTTAGAAGGGGAATCCCCTTCCATTAGCACTTGAGGCAGCAAGTCTTTTTCTGGGGTTACTTCCCTTGTTCTTTTAATGCCACTAGGACCAGCTTCAGAGTCACTGTACTTCTGTCGCACAACATATCTGTCCATAGAGGCCTGTACCTCTCGTTCCTTTATCCTAAAGTGTTTCACAATGTCAGTGTAATAGTCACCAGCATGGCTTGCAATAGCTGTGTGAGGGTGATTTTCATCAAAAAAGGTTTGCACTTTAAGCCACTTTGCACACATTTCCTTAATCTTTGAAGTAGGCAACTTCTTCAATTTCTCTCTCCCCTCCTCCGAAGCAGTTTCCAAAGGTGTGGCCTCTTACTGTTGAAGATGATCTAGCAGCTCATCAGTGGTTTGTTCTTCATTGTCCTCCTCCACCAACTCTTCCACATCCTCCCCACTAACCTCACCAATATGAGCACTAGTTCCAGGCATTTTTTCCTGTTCACCTGGGTGTTAGTCAACTGTTGTGGGTCGCATCCTGGGGGACAAGATTAAGAACCCCCAATGGAAATAAGTTAGACAGTCCTCGATGATGCACTGACTTTCTTGGGTTATCCTGGGTGGCTAACCCTCCGGGGTTAATCGTTTCTCGGTAATTGTTTCACGTTAAGCCACACCAACAACACTCTCTCCACATCTTCGAGTAATACAGCTGATGGTGGTGCAGCAACAACAACAGCTGACTGTAGTGCAGCAGCAGCTGCACCTTTTGCAAAAACAGCTTCCTTGATTGCCGTTTTCTTACCCACAATAGTAGCGATGGTTGATTGGGGTTTATTATACAACCTGACCAGCTCAGAGACACGCACTCCACTTTCATACTTAGCAATGATCTCTTTCTTCGTCTCCATAGTAATTCTCACCCTTTTTGCTGTAGGGTTGGCACTAAAAGCTTTCTTGGAGCCCATGGTGACTTATTTTGCAGATGCAATCACTACAAAGGCTGTGATAATATGAAATGTTCCAGTTGTATGTTTGGAAGCGACCGCGGTGGCTGGCTGGCTTGTAAACACTGACACCCAAGGGACAAGTGAGGCACGCTCAGGCCAAAGTGGACGCGTATGGTACGGAACGAATAGCGCTGGTCGGGTTTTTAAGCGCTAGTTGAGGCAAAATTTTTGCGTTTAAATGTATCGCTAGTCAGATTTATCGTTAATCGATGCCATCGCTGGTTAAGGGTCCATTGTATCTGAAAACATTCACTTCTTCCATACTCCTCCTCCCCAATTTGATATCCAATTTTTCTTTATCTAAATCATTTGATACCCTCATCACCTTACTCTTTCCTATGTTCACTTTCAACTTTCTACCTTTACACACACTCCCAAACTCATCCACTAACCTTTGTAATTTTTCTTTAGAATCTCCCATAAGCACAGTATCATCAGCAAAAAGTAACTGTGTCAATTCCCATTTTGTATTTGATTCCCCGTAATTTAATCCCACCCCTCTCCCAAACACCCTAGCATTTACTTCTTTTACAACCCCATCTATAAATATATTAAACAACCATGGTGACATTACACATCCCTGTCTAAGACCTACTTTTACCGGGAAGTAGTCTCCCTCTCTTCTACACACCGTAACCTGAGCCTCACTATCCTCATAAAAACTCTTTACAGCATTTAGTAACTTACCACCTATTCCATATACTTGCAACATCTGCCACATTGCTCCCCTATCCACTCTATCATATGCCTTTTCTAAATCCATAAACACAATAAAAACTTCCCTACCTTTGTCTAAATATTGTTCACACATATGCTTCAATGTAAACGCTTGATCTACACATCCTCTACCCACTCTGAAACCTCCTTGCTCATCTGCAATCCTACATTCTGTCTTACCTCTAATTCTTTCAATAATAACCCTACCATACACTTTTCCTGGTATACTCAATAAACTTATTCCTCTATAATTTTTACAATCTCTTTTGTCCCCCTTCCCTTTATATAAAGGGACTATACATGCTCTCTGTCAATCCCTAGGTACCTTCCCCTTTTTCATACTTTTATTAAACAAAAGTATAAAACCAAACCCCCACATTTATATCCCCCCCTTGTTTTTAACTTTTCCTGTCATGATCCCTCAGTTTCACTGTTTTTAAAACCCCCTTTCATTCTTTTGAAAAGCCTCACGTACTTTCCCCCCCAAAACTTACATTCGCTCTTTTTCACTCCTAAAAGATGGAAATACCCCCGGGCCATGCGGGAAAAATTACCCCCCTCCCTTTTCTTCCTCAACAAAATAAAAGTTCCTAAAAATATTTTCGCCACCAACCTAATCCCTCCCTCTCCCCACTACAAACCCCCCTACTCTTTTTTTAACTGACAAACCCCCAAAATTTTTCCCCTGGGTTTTTCCCTTAAACCCTTTTTTAAACCACCCCCCAATTTTTTTTTCTTATTTTCTTTAAAAATTTCTTGACAGGCCCCCCAAAGCCTTTTTTCCCTTTTAACCTTTTTTTTACCCCCATTTTTGATCCCCTTCCTTTTGGAAAAATTTTCTTTTTTAAAACCCCATTTCCTTCCCACCTTCCCCCTTTTTCCTCCCCCCCCTTCAAAATAAAACCTGGCCCCTTCTTATAAAAACACTAACCCTTTTAAAAACCCTCCTCCGCCCAACCCCCTAATTTTCCCCCCTTTTTTCCCCTTTTTTAACCTTTTTAACTTTCACCCCAATTCCACCAATTTTCCAAACTTTCCCCTCTTCCTCCGGGGCCCCCCAAACCCTTTTTCCCAAAAATAACCAACAAATTTCGGGGCCCCCCAAACATTTTAATCCTGGGGCCAATTTTTAAAAATCATAAAACCCTTTTTCCTTCAACCCCCCCAAAAAAAAACCCCAAAAACTTTGCACTTAAGCCCTTCTTTTTTGGCCCAATGTGATTATATGGGGCCAATTTTCCCCCTTTTTACTTTAAAAACCCCCCTTCCTTAACTTGGGTTTCCCAACCTTTCCCTTTTTTCCCCTTCTTTTTTTAATCCAACTGGAAGTTTAATCAATTTTAAAAAATTTGGTCCATAATCGTTCCCTTCCTTAAAACTTTCCCCTTTAAAGCCACCCCCAATTTTTTTTAAATTCCCCCAAACAACCTCAAATTTTCATTTTTCTTTAAAAAGGGTTTCATTAAACCCCCTTGTAAATTTTTTAAATTCTTTGAATAAAAATTTTAATGATATTTTATTCCCCCAAACCTTCAAAATTTTTCTTAAAACCCCCAAAAATTTTCCCCTTTTTCCCCAAATTTCCTAGAATTTTCCCTTTAAAAAGGAAATTTTTAAACCCCAAAACATTTAAAAATGAAATAACCAATTTACTTTTTCCCCCACTGGTTGGAAAACTCCCCTCCATTACCAAAACCCTTTCCAAAATCTCTTTTTTCTTCCCAAAAATTTCTTTCTTCCGGGAAAATCCTTTATTAACCCATTTTACCCCAAACCTTTATTTTAAAACTCCACATAATCCTTGAATTTTTTAATTTATGCCTTTTTTTCCTAAATATTTTTTTAAAAACCCCCTTTTTCAACATTTAATTGCTCCCCTTTCTTTACCCCCTCCCCCCAAAAATTTAAAACCCTACTTTCCCCATTTTTTCCCCCTTTTCCCACTGAAATCCCCAAACCTCCCTTCCCCACCTTTTTTTTCCCAAAACCCCAATGCTTTCCATTTCCTTCCCTTAAACTCCCTCTC